TCTTATGCAATATTTGTCCTTCTGTGACTGACTAAATTCACTAAGCGTAATGTCATCCAGATTCCTCCAGGTTATAAGATGCTTCAGGATTCATCATTGTTCTTTATTGTTGCATAGTATTCCATTGTGTGAATATAGCATAATTTGTTTACCCACTCATCCATTGATGGGCACCTAGGTTGTTTCCATGTTTTGAATTTTGGTCAAGTTGGAGTCCCTGGGTGTTGCAGAGTTAACTGCTTATGGAGAAGTTGGAGGTTGGATTTCACCTAGAGACACCACAGAAGAAAGGCCTGGTGATGTACTTCCAAAAAATCAGTCATTGAAAATTCAATGGAGTACTCTTCTACTCTGACACACATATGGTTGCTGTGATTCTGAATTGACCCAATTGCAACTAGTTGCTGGTTTATAAAAATATTGTCTACCTCATGCATCTAAATCTTGCAGATGGAAGTTCTGCATGTGAGTCAGGATTGATTGGGAAAAAATAAAAAATGAAGTTATAATTACTGAAATTGAGCACACCCAGATTTTTTGGGAGTGGACAGATAGTAACAACCTAGCACTTGTGAAGGAAACACCTTAGGCCTTCCAAGGAATGAGGGAGGATGGGTATTAATGATCTTTGTCTTTCAGAGCTGTCCCTGAACTCTTCCTTCAGAAGAATACTCCAGAATAGACCTCTCAAACTGCTAAGAGTGCCTTCAATTTAAGTGACTGCTGGGTCGGCCATCCTCCACCAGATGGCTCTGATCATGATAACAGAGACAACGGAGATGCTCCAGCTCTTGTCCCCCACCCCCTATGCAAGGCATCTGAATATCTTCCCCACCTTTATTCTCAGTGATTAAGTGGGGCAGAAACATGCCACATGGCTGATGGCAGGAACAAATAGGACAGATTGAAATAAGTGCCCTCAAGAAGTCCTTCCAAAAAAAAGACATTAAATTTGGAGCCCTAAGGCATATCAAGGGTGGTGCAGTGTTTAAGCTCTTGGCTGCCAACCGAATGGTAGGCAGTTCAAACCCACCAGACACTCTATGGGAGGAAGATGTGGTAGTCTGCTTCTGTAAAGATTACAGCCTTGGAAACCATATGGGGCAGTTCTCCTCTGTCCTATAGGTTCACTGTGAGTTGGGATGTACTAGACAGCAATGGGTAAAGGCTTACCAGCCAGCTGGTAAGCTATGTTGGAAGCATTGTTAACCAGTACTCTGATTTACATAGGTTAACCTGTAAACACTTTTTTTCCATGTGACTTCTTGCACCCTTGGATTTGTACTTCTTGTGTGAAGGGCTGACATTGGCTTGCCTCCTTTCTGAACACAGTGTGACTTACCCCTTAGGAGTAGTAAAAGAGACCTGCAGATTGATCATGGAGGTCAAGAGAATGATGAACTTACGGGAAAATGGATTTAGAAACGAGAGAGTTAGATTTGTTCTGAGGCAATTTTCCATGGAGTTTTTATACGTCTTGTACAGCTCTTATCTTGGACTATCTTTTCAAGGATGTTTTATAGCAGACAGCCTTGGAAGATATAAATAGTGTCTCTCCCCAGGACAGAAGGCAGATTTGTTTCTGAAGAAGATATTAAAGGTAATGTGTCCTAGTGGGCAAAATTAGGCAGGTTTGCTAGCAGCCCCTTTAAAAGATTGGGAATTTACTAAACTTGGGGCTCCTGAGCTGTGAACCAGGCACCTTGTGTATACAACATCCATAAGGGATCCCTTCTATATTGCCACCAATAGGGTCTGGGAGAAAGGGGGAATTGACGCTAATATGAAGCCCATGCTGTCTGCTATGCAGTGAGTAATAAGGCCCTTTGTCTCTGACCCAACAGTCTTGTCTTCTGTCAATATTTATGAAATGGTAGTGGGCTGACTGTTAGACTGCAATAAAGTAAATGTCTTGTAGTTTTTAATAATAAACATAAATTTGGCAAAATATGAGAAAGACATATCACACTAGTTTAAATAAGATAGAAGTTTATTTGTATCTCATTTAAATGTTCTGGCTGGCATGCTTGAAACTCTTTGATAAATTGATTGTGGCTTTTGTGCTAGTGTGACATGCTGTGGTGTCAGGGACCTGAGTGTGTTCTGTCTTGATTAGCCATCCCTAGTGTGTTGGCTTACTAGACAATAATATTGCAAAACATGAATATGTGAAAAGACAAACATATATTACAGCAATCTACACTGATTTCTCTGGACATGTAGTTAAGAGAAGAAGGGTGTATTAAAAAGAAAAAAATGTATATATTTAAATTATTTTAAATATTTAATGCCTGCAGAGAACACTGCTATAACATACTAATTGGTGGTCCTTTGGGAAATGATAGTTTTGGATCTCAGATACCCTTGAGAATTCTTCATAATCTTTAGACATTTTTCTTCAGGGCACAGAGAGCATAAATACTCTGTGGGATCAGGAGTTGATTAACTTTTATACAGCACTGTGGATAATACTTAGAGAATTATTTAATACATAAATAAGTAAATTTAATACACTAGCTTATGCAATAAAATAAGTGAGAAAACATTTTCACAATTGCCATTTAGAGATGAGAAATAATAATCATAGATTATGTGGTAGAGTGAGGTCCACGCGGAGAGGAATGAATGAAGTATCTGTGCTCTGTTCAGAACAATGTAAAAGAGTTAAATGTTGCAGCACAGATGACTTCGCCTGTACAAATCTGTGTGTATATATTGTCTTAAAGTGAGCTGTTTAGGATTTTAAATGCAATTGATGGGATTATTTATGACTCAAAATATGAAAATATTAATGTTTCTAAAATATAAAGACAATATTTCCTTTTAGATATATTTTTAACACACATTTGTTTTATTTTTTACCATGAAGCATTAACCTTTGTTTTCCCCCCAACCTTTTCAGTTTTAATTTAGGGAAAATGGTGAAAGACGATGAATAGCATACAATGATAATTTAGTATTGAAAACCTTTTTCATTTTTAAAATTCATTGTGTGTTCATAATATCTAACAAAACCAAGCATAATTATATTAACGGTTTTGAGTTCTAATGGTTTTAGAATATGAATAGCCTATGTATGATACTTGGTGTATATGATTGTTGAAGGTGGACTAAGTAATGATTTAACAGGATAAAATTCTGTTTTCGATGTGTTAGATATAGGTGTTCTTATATTTGCTGTCATTGGGGTAATTTGTGTAAATGAGAAAAAAATCTTAGATTGCTTCACATTTGCCTGAATATGCAAAGAATGTTCAGGAAAAATAACAGTTATTTCTTTTCACTCATATATGACTACATTATTAGAACAAATGACTTTGATAGTGGAACTCTAATTATTGTTTCTAACAAAATTATGCATGTGCCCTTTGTTTCCATTCAGGCTGCTTTCTCTCCCAGGAATACCTTGAGTTCCGCATATCACGTCTTCATCTCCCTCTAGGACATATTTTAGAATCCAACTTTTGCTCCTGTGCACTCTTCTAGATAATACTGAAACCATCTTTTATTTGTTCTTAGATGTTTGTTTTTATGTGTGAACATTCCTTCTAAATAATAATGTATGTTATAGAGGCTGGAAATAATTCTCTTAATATCATGAACACAGAAAGTATTGTATATATTGCCCATCTCAAAAACACAATCATTTTATGTGTTTGATGATGAAGATACATAGGAAGGAAATTTTCCCTAGAGACATCATTAATCTTTTTTGTTGAGGAAATGTACTATAATTTGGCCTATAACTGCTTGTACAAAATTTTGTAATTTTAAGAGAACAACTTCTGAAAGTAGACTCTTTGAACTTTAACCCCTACTCTCCATCTTACTAGCTGTGCAAACCTGAACAATTTTTATTTCTTAATCTCACTGTGTCTCACTTAATATATGTCAAGTGTTGAGAATAGTCCTTAGTATCTCTTTAATTGCCTGTTAGCTGGATATTTGAACACTCTTATTACAACAGGTAAATATATGCCTATTTTTATATAACGTTTGTTTTTATTTTAAAATTTGTCTCAACACTACTCTCAATGATTCATTATGATTTTGAAATTTACTAAATACTTTCTTCTTCTCTTTGAGGCCATGCTGATCTCCACATTGTTCATGTGTTTGGTCTGTACTTCAGACAAACAGCATGAAGGTAAGTATAAGGAAAAAAAAGCTGATGAAGAGAAATTCAGTGTTAAACATTCCCCTCCTCATAAGTTTTTACCTGTTATTTTACATAATTTTAATCATCTTATCTTTTCTTTTCCTTGAACCCACTACCCTATCTTTAAAAAAAAAAAAAGTCTTATTTCTCTAGACTTCCATGCAGATTTGCCTTTATCTTTCTCTTCTCCTTATTTTTTGCACCTCATACCATTTCCTAAATATGGTTTAGGAAATGTTTTTGTGTTTTCTTGCTATCCATACCAACATTTCCAAACTGTTCATGCTGATTTTGTATTGGATATGAAGTGGGGAGGGTGGTGAATGACACAGAGATGAAAGGATGAGATGACTAACAAGAACAGTAAATAAAATTATTCCCCATGTCTCATATTCTCTTATCTAAAACCAGGTCAACGAGTCCTGGTGGCAATGGTTAAGCACTTGGCTACTAACCGCAAGGTCAGTGGTTCGAACTCACCAAAGGCTCCTTGGAAGAAAAGAAATATAGAATTTTTTTTCATGCTTTGTAAGACCCTCTAATTTATTCACATAAAAACCATTTATAATGACTGTCATTATATGAGTTATTCTCTGACAGAATTGCAAATTAAATTTTAGTTCTCTGTCCAGGTACTCTGGAAACACAAACTATTTTCTTACTGGCTTCATCATTTGTAAAAGTGATTATTTTTTTATCTGAAACAGTGCTTTGCTAGCTTTAGCTTAAACACTAGTCATGAGTGTTGCTCTTTCATAGGAGTCAGGGGTTGTGTGGGGAGTTGTTGTTATTGTTTATTTTTTTCCTATTCCTTTTTCCTGGTAGAAGTCAGAGGACTGTAATGGGAAACCATACAAGAGTGACAGTGTTTGTCCCAGCAGGTTTGACTGATGACCCACAATTGAAAGTTGTGTTATTTATCTTCTTGCTTCTCACCTACTTGCTAAGCATCATTGGCGATCTGATCATCATCACACTCACCCTACTGGGTACTCACCTCAGGACCCCCATGTACTTTTTCCTTCGGAATTTTTCCCTCCTAGAAATTTCCTATACTACTACATGCATCCCTAAGCTTCTGGTTGTCATGGCAACTGGGGACAAAACCGTTTCCTATAACTGTTGCGTCGCTCAGTTGTTTTTTGCTTTCCTTCTTGGAGCATCTGAATTTTACCTGCTGGCAGCTATGTCCTATGACCGCTATGTGGCCATCTGTAAGCCCCTGCATTACACAACCATCATGAATAGCAATATCTGCATACCACTTGTTCTCAGCTGTTGGCTTGCTGGGCTCTTTGTCATCTTTCCACCACTCATCTTGGGCCTTAGACCTTGACTTCTTTGCCTCCAACATGGTTGATCATTTCTACTGTGACGCTACACCCCTCCTGCAGATACCCTGTTCAGACACACAGCTTCTGGAGACACTGGCTTTTATCTCAGCCATGGTGACACTCTTGGTCACACTGACAATGGTGATAATATCATATACCTGTATTGCCCTGACAGTTCTGAAAATCCCTTCAACTAGTCAGAGGAAAAAGGCTTTTTCCACCTGCTCTTCTCATATGATTGTGATCTCCCTTTCTTATGGCAGCTGCATTTTCATGTATGTTAAACCATCAGTCAGACAGAGAATATCATTTTCCAAGGGAATTGCGGTGCTCAATACCTCAGTTGCACCACTTCTGAACCCTTTCATCTACTCTCTAAGAAACCAACAAGTGAAAAAAGCCTGCATGAACTTGATGCACAGGATTGTCTCTTTTTCAAAGGAATGACTACACTGTTGCATTATATAAAGGAAATGAAATGTGAAGTCTGAACTAATATCAATTATCCGTTAGTAGCTCTCAATACATAGTTCCCTCCATTTCTTTTTCCTTCCATTTCTGTGATATTCGTATTTATCTCTTTTCAACCTTTACTTTTCGTGAAAGACTTTATTCCAAAGAAGTTAATTTTCTTTTCCTTCTGCATTAGATTTTTTGCCTCATCTCACAATCCTGTACTTATAAATGATCCTTTGTGATGTTACAACATACTTAAAATTAATATTCTTTGATGATACTTTTGTCCTACTACCAATTCAGTGTCTGATTCTATTTAAATAAATTTTAAAACTTTGTAGCACAGATTCAGCATCAGCGGTGATGCTCATCTTTAAAAATATTAACAAATCTATGATTGTTGTTGTAAAGTACATTTTATAGAAACTATTTCTATATGAGAGATATTTACATTTATAATTATTTTCAATTATAGTTGAGAGAAAATTTGTTACTGGTTTATTTTTAAAATGAACAATGGAATGCAATATTTAACCACCCTCCAATTAACTTGGGATACTTCTAATGCCAACTGAAAACTACTTAGTAAATTATTGTTAAATAAGCAAACAATGTTAAGTTGATAAATGTATTCTATTTAGAAACTATTTGTCTGATACCATTATAGATATATACATACATATGTGTACCTCCTACAAGTGATGCCAAAATAGTAGAAAAACAAATCCTTCTCTTAAGGAAAAATTTTCTGAGCTCACAATCCATTACAGGTATCTAAAATCAATTTCTGTGTCATAATCAGAATTTTACAAAGTGAAATACAACAAAAAATTTTCACATAGATTAATAGTAGTTCATGATATTTTTTGTTTCAAAAATGTGTGTGTACTATGACATAATATTTTATTTATTTATTTATTTTTAAACTTACGGTCTTGATTTTAAAAAAATGTTGAAAAATACTGTCTAAAGGAGCATATTAGACATAACCAAAGAGGAAAATACTTATGAAGTAGACAGGACAATTTACAGGTTTATGTAGAATTTGTAGGAAGAACTGGATTTAAAAGATAATTGGGTTAAGAATACGATTTCAGGAATAAGTGGCTATTTAAAGAGGTGATTATAATTTTTTTTCTTGATCATTTGGTATTCATTTTCTTCCATTTTGAGAAAGTAGACCTAATGATCGTAGAGCATTATTTAACATTTAGAAATTTTAGCCCAGAAAGTTAAAAACAATATAACATTTTGAGATAATTTAATAAAAGTAAAACTAGGCCTCTCTTCAGTATTAAGAGTAGGTTTGATCTGTTATGTGCCAATCAGAATGAGTTTGTTTAAACTATACTTCCCTAATGAAACCATTAACTAATTGAGACATTCTAAAATGGTTGATTTATATATTTTAAAATGTCTGCCATCCATTAGTTATTTATCATAAAGGATGTTCTGTCAGTTTTATTTTCTAAATTAAGTCTCCCTCATTCCTACTTCCTCCTATCCTTAGGCAGAATTGTTTCATTATCTGTCCTCTCCGATACACCTTTTGGTCTATGATATATCACCTGACATTTTATCAGTTATAACCACTACCATTTGTCACTGAATACTGGATACCCCAGTATTTATTATTGCAGTTTTGTTTTGTTTTGTGTTTGATTGAGTCTTTAGCAAGTAACACAGCTTCTTAATATATGTGGTGAAACTTCTATCTTGAGAGAGCTTTCACCTGAAATGATAAAATCCTATATCCTGAAATGCTTTTTGTTTTTCTGATCTAGTTGGCTAGGGTGAACAACAATTGTGAGGTAAAAATAAGACCTATAATTTGTTATAACCTATATTATTTGCTGAGCAAATAATCTGAGAAGCTAGGCTATATGAGGAACGGGGCATCAGGCTTGGAGGAAGACTCGTTAACAACCTGCCATATGCAGATGACACAAACTTGCTTGCTGAAAGTGAAGAGGGCTTGAAGCACTTACTAATGAAGATTAAAGACCACAGCCTTCAGTATGGATTCCACCTCAACATGAAGAAAACAAAAATCTTCACAACTGGACCAATAAACAATATCATGATAAATGGAGAAAATGTTGAAGTTGTCAAGGATTTCATTTTACCTGGATCCACAGTCAACACCCACAGAAGCAGCAGTCAAGAAATCAGACAATGTATTGCATTGGGCAAATCTTCTGCAAAAGACCTCTTTAAAGCATTGAAAAGCATAGACTGAAAAGCATTGATGTCACTTTGACGACTAAGGTGAGTCTGAGCCAAGCCATGGTATTTTCAGTTGCTTCACATGCAAGCGAAAGCTGGACAATAAATAAGGAAGACCAAAGAAGAATTGATGCCTTTGAATTATGGTGTTGGTGAAGAATATTGAATATATGATGGACTGTCAAAAGAATGAAAAATCTACTTTGGAAGAAGTATAGCCAGAATGCTCCTTAGAAGCGAGGATGGAGAGACTTCACCTCATGTACTTTGGACTTGTTATGAGGAGGAACCTTTCCCTGGAGAAGTACATCAGGCTTGGTAAAGTAGAGGGTCAACAAAAAAGAGGAAGATCCTTGATGAAATGGATTGACACAGTGGCTGCAACAATGGGCTCAAACATAGCAATGATTGCAAGGATGGAGCAGGACCAGGCAGTGCTTTGTTCTGTTGTATATAGAGCCACTATGAGTTGGAGCAGTCTACCATTACTTGGTATCGCCTTGCCTTCCTCTCCATTAGAAGGTTCTATACCTATGCCGTTTATTTCCTCTTTTATTGTTTTGATGTTGTTGTCATTTATTGATTAACTGCTCTGATTCCCTGTTGTATTTCTTTTGGTTTTGGATAGTCCTCGAGAGTTCATTTCCTAGATTGGTATCTGGCT